TGCCAACCGTGGCCCAGAGTTCGGCCAACCAAGAAAGTTTAAGTCATTTAAACTGCGTTTCTAGAGTTTTGCCAACCGTTGGGCCAACCGTGGCCCAGAGTTCGGCCAACCAAGAAAAATCAAGTCAATTAAACTGCGTTTCACAGAGTTTTGCCAACCGTTGGGCCAACCGTGGCCCAGAGTTCGGCCAACCAAGAAAGTTTAAGTCAATTAAACTGCGTTTCACATAGTTTTGCCAACCGTCGGGCCAACCGTGGCCCAGAGTTCGGCCAACCAAAATAATGTAAGTCAATTAAACTGTGTTTCACATAGTTTTGCCAACCGTTGGGCCAACCGTGGCCCAGAGTTCGGCCAACCGAAATTGAAAGTCTTTTAAACTACGTTTGGATAAGTTGTGCCAACCTTTGTCGCCAAAGTTGGCCCGACGGTTGGTTAAACTCTGCATTTAATGGTTGGCTTGCAAAGTCGGGCCAACTGTGGGCACAAGTACTTGCCAAAGTTGGGCAAACTCTGGCAACCAAAACTTTGCTTGCCAAAGTTAGGCCAACCTTGGGCCAACCTTCAAACTCTGGCGGCCAACCTAAATTCGCACCTGGGATGGTAAACATTTATTTTAAAAAAATAATAGAATTTATAAAAAAAATTAAGTTACAAAACCTACACCAAGGAATTTCTTCAAATTCATTACCAAGTGACCTGATGATGATGGTGAACCAGTCCATCGAAACGTTGTCAATAAAATAAAAAAAAAATTTGTTAGGAATTCAATTATTTTTAATACAATTTTAATAAATGTGAATAATCAAATTTTTAATTAAAAATATTAAAAAACGACGATAAGAAGTTGAAAAAAAATTCTTCGTTTAATTCAAATATTTTCAAAGTTTTCATTTATCATTATTCAAAAATTACATTATTTTCCAAAGAACTTAAAGAAATTCTTCAAAAGAATTTAATTATTTACAAAAGCTCTAATAAATTTATTTAAAAAAGTTTAATTTTCAATAAATAATTTTAATAATAGTTTATAGTAAAATTATTTATTACAATTATTAAAAAAATCGATTATATTCACTAATAAAATTAAAGAAATTTTTTGAAAACATTCAATTATTGTCAAAACCTTAATTAGTATTATATTCTTTGAAAGAATTGAATTATTTTTTATATTTTAATAAATTTCCTTAATAAATTATATTATAATTCTTCGTGAGAATTTAATTATTTTCATAAATAATAAAATTCTTCGAAGAAAAAGAAAAACTATTCAAAAAGTTAGAGCACAAAAAAATAGACAACAACTAACTACAAACTGCGAACAGATTACCAGAACACAACGATATTAATATAGATTAAAATTATTATTATTTAGAGATGCACATCGATCACATTGAGCGAGAATGGGCAGTATTTGTTGAAGTTTTTCGTTTTTTAAATTCATTATAGGGCCGACTACTGTAGTATTCTTACTTGTTTCTACAATAATTTTTTCAACGAATAAAATTTTTTTTTCATAAACATGATTGGTTTAAAAGTTTTGTGTGATCGTAAGGAACAATATCACCTAAAAGAATTTGAAAAAAGTCTAAATTGTACTTTTTAAACAGTGTTAACCCTCCTACGATTTTATCATTTTTCTATTTTGCGGGAAATAAATTATTTATAATTTTGTTAAAATTATTGACTGTTTCATTTTTACTTTGATATTAAATACAACTATTAAACTTCAAGTTACACTGCGAGTGTTATTTATATGACCCTGGAATTAAATTGTTTTTAAATAAATAAATGAAAGATACACCTTGAGTATACTCGGGTTAAACCGTAGAGAGGTTAATTAAAAAGATTGCTTCAGGTGTCCGACTACTGTCGTATTCGTACTTGTTTATTTGCAAATTTTTTTAACGAATAAGAAATTTTTTTTGTAAACATGATTGGTATAATTGTTTTATAGAACAATAAGAAACAATCACACGTGAAAGAAATTTTTAAGAAATTTTAATTGCAATTTTTAAACAGTATTCATTATAAAGATTTTCTTAAGTGTCCGACTACTGCAAGGTTTACCCTATCGTCTTACTTCATTCTTGTGAATCAAGCTTTTTGGAGTTTTCAAATAATTAATATGAAGAAAATGGGTGTTTATATAAATATAAAATTTTGAATTAATTAAAATTAGGAAATATAATCTGACCCTGAGCAGGCAGGGTTAAGGCCATGCCTGAACATTTTACACGGGCATACAAGCTAAAGATATTCCATTCCACTCTAAATTGAATCAAAAGTTAATAACATTTTAAAAATTCGACAAAAACTTTTTTGTCCATAATTTTTAAAATTGTTATGATACCTAGAAATACTTTTTCCCCATAAACATGAAAAAGTGTTTTTTAGGAATTTGGTTTGGGCAAATATAGTAGCACTTTTAGACAGTTCTTGACAACTACCGTGAAAAGACTTTTCTTGGCAATTGTGCAGAATTGCGTAATGGTAGTTTACTGAGATTGAATTTTATATTGAGACTTAGGTATATTGAGATTTAAGTTCACATTGAAATTGAGATTGTGATTGAGAGATTGACATTGAGATTAACCCCTTCAGTGTGTAGCTAAAATATAACAAAATGGTCCCAAAATGTGTAAGACCTTCTAGTGAATAAATTTTCATGACACTAGGTACTAAGGGGTTTTTGAGGTCGCTGATTACGATTCCGGTGTTAGTTTTCAAAAATTCAAAATGGCGGATGCAATATGGCGGACACGTATTTAAAAAATTCTTTGGATTCGCTTAAAATTCGTTACTCGGGGATTTTCGTGATGGCTGATTACGAATATGATATTAGTTTTTAAAAATTCAAAATGGCGAAACCAAAATGGCGGACACGATTTTGAAAAATTCATTGGATTCGATTAAAATTTATTACTCGGGGGTTTTTGTGGTCTCTGATTGCGAATCTGACATTAGCTTTTTAAAATTCAAAATGGCGGATCAAAAATGGCGGACACGATTTTGAAAAATTCATTGGATTCGCTTAAAATGTATTATTCGGGGGTTTTCGTGGTCGCTGATTACGAATCTAAAATTAGTTTTTTAAAATTCAAAATGGCGGACATGATTTTGAAGAATTCATTGGATTCGCTTAAAATTTATTACTCGGGGGTTTTCGTCGTCGCTGATTACGAATCTGACATTAGTTTTTTAAAATTCAAAATGGCGGATCCAAAATAGCGGTCACGATTTTGAAAAATTCATTGGATACGCTTAAAATTCATTATTTGGGGGTTTTTGGGGTCGCTGATTAAGAATCTGTTATTAGTTTTTCAAAGTTTAAATGGTAAGAATTTTTAAAAGAATTTATCCACTTTTGAAATTTTTCAAAATTTTTGGCGGCCACTTTGGATAAAAAATTATGTATTTTGAAAATATGACTACAGAATCGTGATCAGCGACCCCAAAAACCCCCGAGTAAGAGCTTTTAAAGGAATTTATCCACTTTTAAAATTTTTCAAAAATTTTGGCGGACATTTTGGATGAAAAATTATTTATTTTAAAAATCTGACTTCAGAATCGTGATCAGCGACCCCAAAAACCGCCGAGTAAGAATTTTTGCGAATGTACGTTAAGATGTTTTCTTGTTTGGGCCGTGACGTGTATACACGTCATCCACTGTTTGGGCCAGTTTTTTTCATGGCGTGTATACACGTCATCAACAGTCAAGGGGTTAAGATTAAGATTGAGAGGTTCACTTTTTCATATCAATGACGAAAAATATAGCGTATGCGACTCGCATACGTAACAATTTTTAGGTTTACATATAATATACTATTCTTTTCTTTTCTAGAGTTATTGATCTATTAACGAACATTCTTCAGTTATTCTATTCAAAGTTATTGACATTTTAAAATAAAAAATTCTGAATAATCTAATTAAAATTTTTTTTTAGAAATATATAGTATTTTTGGTATTATATTTGCATACAAGTTTTAATATATTGAATATTTCATAAAGGCATTAAAAGTTAGTTATTTGACATAAAAAACTCCATGAGAAAGCAAAGTCTCCATGCAATGAATGTACACAGGAAAAAAAAGTCTGACTCCATTTACACCTTAAATTCAGCCCATGTATTTCACATAAGTCTGTCCTTGTTTAACGGAGCTGACTCCGTTTACACCTTAAATTCAGCCTCAAAAATAGGCTGAAAGTAAGACTTTTTTAGTGTGTAATTATAATATAATTTTTATAACTTTAATATTGCAAATTAATTTTAATTAAACATAACATTTTTATAATAATGAAGAAAAATTAAAACATTTTAACTGACTTTAGTTTGAGTTCTCTCTTTTTTTAAATAAGTTAATTTCTTCGAGCCATAGATATAGGAGAAAACCCGGTTTATATTAATTAAAAAGTATATTTTTAGAAGAAAAAGATCCCAGTAAAAAAAACTAATTCAAACGGATTGAAATGAATTAAGATTTTTGGTAGAAAGCGGGATTCATACAAGCTCTTTGTATATTCGATTGAATTCGATTGAATTTGCCTGAAGTTGTGCAAACGAATTCGCATTCGTAAGAAATGACCAAGGCATGCATTGTATTCGTGATGACGAATTAAAAAAAATTAAATTAAACTCTTTGTGAATTCTTTTTAATTTATTTCAATTAGTTTTTGTTTACTGGGATCATTGTCGAAGTCCATTAACAAATACAACTTGAACGGTTTGGGTTTCAGAAGCATATATTTTTATAATAACATAAGATATAAATTAAACATTTTAATACAACTTTAAAAAAATTAATTAAAAACAAAACAAACTGCAAATAAAGCTAGGAAGAGAAAACTAGAACTGAATTTAATATGACGATTCGACAAATAGGGCACGTTTCTTCGGGGTAACCTCTGAAGCAATTAAGGCCGTTGCACATACATAAATGCCTGCATGGCAGTAGAAGAACAGTTGGAAAATTTTCAAGGCAAACGCAACACTTTGGTAGATCCCTCAATAGCTGTTGTTGTGGCTTTGTCTGCAGCCGTTCCCTTTCGGCTATTTAAAAAATTTTATTTTTTTAAACCCAGTTTATAATAAAAATCAAAAGAATTTTCAAAAAGTGTAATATTTAATCGAAATTCCAAACTCATAAAAATTGTCATTTTAGAAAAGATAACACATTTCTATTAAAACTTTTTGTGTAGAAATAATGATTTTTTTAGGATTTCGTTCACACAGTAAAATGTGACGAAACCCTATTATAGAATCTTTCTAAAGAATATATACATTCTCTAAGAAAAAATAATATAATTAATAAAAAATAATTTTTGGTTAAGTTTTGATATATTGTAATTTGAAATTTATCTCAATCAAAAGTTTTTAATAAAAAACTGTCACTCTAAAATATAAATGTATGTAAAAATGTAATTGTGAATTATTAAAAGGGATTGAGCAAAAGTAGGTGATGGAAAGAGATTGAAATAGACTAAGATTAAACCCAAGGTGTAAATGGTGATGAGTGTGTACTAAGATCAAAATGTGGATAAAAAGAGAAAAGTACAAGGATAAAAAGGATTGAAGGGAATAAAACAAATGTTATTTAGAAAGATAAAGAAAAAAAATAAATACAAAGATTCAAATCAGGATAGAAAGAGAATGAAGTAAATAGTAGTAGGATTAAAAGAGATAAAATAAGGGTTATTAGAAGAGGTTGAGAAAAAATATGAGATAAAAAGATATTGAAGGGATTAAAAAAGGAAAAGTCTGGGATAAGGGAAGGTTATAAGCAGAGATCAGTGTTTTCTTAGATTAAAGTAGCGACAGAAAAGGAAGAAAGTAGATAGGAAAAGTATTGAAGAAGATAAGAAAAAAAAATGGTTTCATTTTTTAAAAGTTATCTGTCTGACAGATATCAAGTTGTAAAAGTTGATGGCGAATATAGTGAACCTTTTTTAGCGACCTCTGGGGTATCTCAGGGATCGCGTCTTGGTCCTTTAATGTTTATTTTGTATATGAATGATGTAAAACCTGTTTTCAGGCATTCCTACTTTTTGCTCTATGCAGATGACCTTAAGTGTTACAAAATAATTAATTCACTTTCAGCAGAAAAAGACACTTCAGATCTGCAAAAGGATCTGAAGAGATTACAAAAATGGTGTGGTAAAAATCATCTAAGTATTAATATTAAGAAAAGTTATGTTGTTTCATTTTCTAAAGGTTAAGTTAGCTCATATAACTATACTTTAGAGGGTCAGAACTTGGAGAGAGTAATTAGGATGCGTGATTTGGGTGTATTGTTCACTAGTAATCTTAGTTTCAATGATCACGTCACTGAAATTGTTTCAAGAACCTCGAAATCCTTAGGGTTTATAATGAGATATGCTTCTGTATTTCGTGGTCTTGCAACAATTAGAATATTATACTTGACGCTTGTCAGATCAATAGTTGAATACGCATGTATAATCTGGTCTCCTTTTTATGTCTTCCACATAATCAGAATTGAACGTATTCAGAATAAATTCCTTAGATTTGCTGCAAGAATACTTAATATTCCATTTGATTATCGTACGCATGATTATGAAAATTTAAGAACTTTAATGAATATTCCTCTTTTGACATCTAGATTTCATTTTTCTGATATGTGACTGTCCACGAGAAAACAGGGCTTAGGTCCAAAAAATAAATTTTGAGTTTTTTATGGTAATCGACAGATTTTATGTTGCTTTTTCAGATGCAAAAGTCAAAAGTTAAAAATATCAACTACTTTCGACAATATATCGTTTTAAAGATGGGTATGTCAAGCGTAGTTAACTTCAATCGTAGTACTTCAATCGCTCGCCCTGTGAAATTCACGTTTGGGAGCTAAGCCCTGTTTTCTCGTGGACAGTCACATATGTCTTTTTTGTACAGACTGATGAACGGAGCTATCTATTGTCCCTCACTTTTATCCATGGTAAATTTATCTGTTCCTAGAATGTTTACTAGACGTTATACGTTATTCTCAGTGGCATTTCATAGAACGAACTATGGTAATAATTCATTAATTGATCGACTCACTAGAGAAGCTAATATAATTTCTAATGAAATAAACTTCTTTGATAATAATGTTACAAGGTTCACAACGGCATTGCGTAACATAATGTTTAATAGAAACTGAGATTATTTAATTTGAACATAAAAAGTTTCAACCTAGATTTAAGTTAAAAATTCATTATTATATTAGATTTAGGAGTACTTTTGTACGAAAGGGCATGTCCCGTTATGTTTCTTAAATAAATAAAATGTTATTCAAAAAGATTGAGAAGAAGAGAAGATAGAAAGCGATAGTAGTAATAAAAATGGGGATAGATTAAAAGAGATAAACAAATATTCAAGGAGATAGGATTTCTATCCCTTTACCTCCAACAGGGAGATATAAAACTAGATAATTAGTATGAAGTGACATTGAAAAGGGTATAAAAAGTTAACTTTGGGGATTTAAAAAGGATTCAGTGGGATATAATAAAGGTTATTGAAAAAGATTAAGAAAAAAGAAAAAATTGGATTGTTAACTAATTAATTTTTAAAAAATTGTAATAGGATTTTTTTATTCTAATAGAAAAGAGCTAGACTCTGATAGAACCGAAGGGATAAAAAGAGACAAGTATGAACTGAGATTTAAATAGGGAAAGAATGGGAAGGAAGTGAATAGTAAAAGGATAAAAGTCGATAAAGTAAGAGTTATTAAAAAAGATTGAATAAAAAGGAAAGATAGAAAGAGATTGAGAGGAATGACAAAGAGATAGCCTGGGATAGAAACAAGAATATTAAAAGTGATATGTATGTTCTTAAATGAAATTATAGATAGGAAGAGATAGGTGTGGATATTGAAAGTATTAAAAGAGATGAAATAAAGGTTATTGAAAAAAATTGATACAGAAGGAGAGATAAAATGTGATTGAAGTGATAAAATGGGGATAGACTAAGAGAGAGAAACTTTATCTCTTTCTGTCTCAAAGATAAAAAAAATATTTAAAGAGATAGGATTTCTATCCCTTTACTTCTAGCAGGGATATTATAATATTACTGAATGAATTGGAAAGCTTTGTTGATGATGAAGCCAAAAGAGCAAATTGGATTGGTAATTTGAAAAATATAATAAGATTGCGATTACTTTATGAGGCTTTTTGTAATTCGTTCTTTGCGTTTCTGTATGTAGTTTGTAAGTTGTATTTTTATTTGGGTCTTCGAACCCTGCTTGACTGCAGGGAGTGTAAATAAAGTTATACGCAAGATTGATCCTCTTATTTGAAAAGAATTCCTCTTATTTTTAAAGGATTATTCTCAACTTAAGGGGATGTCAAAGTCGATGCGATTTTCCCATTGAAGCTCAATGCAAAAATCCAATCGACTTTGACATCCCCTTAAGAATATTCTTAATTCCAAGGGGATTTTTCTTGGAATTTTACCCTCAAAAATAGAATATTTTATTTCGGTCTAAAAAAGTTGAGGTTGTATTAAGGAGATACTACTGCGAGCCTCTATCTCAACAAGTTTAGCGGTTCAATTGCATTTTGAACAAAAAAGAATTTCTTACTTCGTCGTTGTTGTTCAGCGTCGTTGTTCACAACCACTTCGAGCTCAACATTTTGAGGTGGTTCAACTTCTCGAGGACGACCCATGCCTCTCATCCGAATAAGACCTCTGGGGCATCCAGCACCTCTCTGACGTCCAGCACCTCTCTGCTGTCCAACACCTCTTTGCTGTCCAAGCACCTCTTGCTTGCCTAGGACGTCTAACACGTCCAGGATTTCCTAATGCGATAGGGCCTCTTGGGAGTGCGACGCCTCGAGGAAGAATTGGGTCTCCTTGGATTTCAGCCTCTCTTGAGAGTGCAGCGTCCTGCAGATGAATATCTTCTTGGGGTTCAAAAGGATGATGATCTTCATTGTCATTTTCCTCTTCAACGACATCATTCTTTTCGATACCTTTTTAAATTGTAATTTATTATTTATTATAATAATATAATAATACACTACCGGTCAAAATTGAGAGACCACCCATTTTCAGGCGAATAAAAAACATTTTAAAACATAAAATGTATAGAAACTAAAATTTTTTTCTTTTTATTTTTTGAAAGACGTTAATCTTTTGAAAAGAACAAGATCTTTTAGAAGTCATTTGGCCAATATTTTATTTAGATTTTCACTATTTTAAATTAAACTATACCTCGTATCTCATTGTAATACTGCTGTCTTCTTTGTAGTCTCGCCTGAATTACATTGAGGTCTTCATGTAGGTACCATAAAAAACAAAGTACATATAAAAAATGTGTCATTTTATATTATAGATTGATTAATTAAGATTTCAATCCAACAGAATTATTTTTCACATCAAGTTAATTGAAAAATGGATTGTAATGTAAAGTGATATTATCACTTTATGTTAATATACCAAACAATTCTTGTTTTAAACAAATTCTTCTTATTTTGATACATATTTTCATTTTTAATTTGACTCAAGAATAATCCTCTTATTCTTATGGGATTTCTCTCATATTAATATCCTCATTTAAGAATATTCCTCTTAAAATAAATTAATTGGATTTTAAAATTATTTTTATGCATTAAATCGAAATCTCATTATTTTAAAATAAATTTGTTATTAACCCTTAAAGTACACACTTCAAAAACATACGTTCGATACACACATGGGCGATTTGTACCTTGCAATATTTTAAAACCTTATATCTTTATCTCAAATTGATCAAATTCAGTCAATTTTTTTAATCGCTAGGAAATGTTCTGAGGAATATGAAAAATATAGTTTTGTTGATATAAAATTAATGTGTTAAAAAATATTTAACAATAGGGGAGAGTGGGGCAAACCGGACCCCCTAACGGTTTTTTGACTCTTGTGACTAAACGAATCAACCGATTTCATTTTTCGATGACTTGTTTAAAAGATAATTTAATTGCGTAACTTTTTCCCAGAGACACCTATACTTTATCTTTTATTGTTTAGTTGCTGTGTTAACTTTAAAAAATTTTGCAAATGGTCCGGTTTGTTTACCCCCTGGGGTAAAACCGGACCGTTTGGTTTTTTATTTATAATATTGCATTTACATAATCTACAATAATAAAAAACATAAAGAATCATGTAAGCAATGGTTTTAGTAATGAAAATAATAATACGGGATTGAATTTTAATTAAATAAATATTTTTTTAAATAAAAAAATTAAAATGTTTGTCATTATCAGAGAAACAATATTCAAGGGTCCAATTCTCATTGAATGACAATTATTTTTCATTGTAAGTAAATATTTTAATGAAAGAAACATTTTATTTAAAAATAATTTTTATGAAACTTTAATTCAATGGAAATATCATATGTCCGGTTTGCCCCACAGGCTCATTTTGAGAATAAATATTTGTTTAAAAGAAACGCTTTGCAAATTCATCAAAGTTTTTGGTGGTAAATATTCCTGAGGTGTGTACCTTCAAAACCTAAGGCCTAATATTTGGAAACATTACACGATTTCTTCAGAATTTTCTTGAGAAAAAATTCGTAAAAGTGTTGAAAAAAATTTTTTTAAAAACTTTTGCTCCCTTCGTCGCATAAACGCAAGCTAAAACTGTGAGATTGAAAAAATAAGGTATACTAAACATAGTTGTTTTAAATTTGTAAACAACACTTTTTCCAATTTCGCCATTTCGGAAATATTGAGAGGGGTCCGGTTTGCCCCACTCTCCCCTATACAATGAAATGTTTTAAAGAATGGAACGCATTTGAATCAAACACTAGGGCGATCTAAACCCAGTTTGTACTTTAAGGGTTAAGATAGGAGTGAATATTTCTAAAGAAAAAATTCAGTCCATGGAATTAAAAGATATTGTTATCCAACCGGGAACATTGATATTCCTCTCCATAACCTCTTCATCAACTACAACAGGATCTTCTTGAGGAACCAATGCTGCATCAGCTGCAAATTACACAATTAATGAAATTACATGATTAAGGTTAAAGAGTTGTTATTGCAATTATTATTTATATTAGGAAACAAGACGGTTATAATTCCTCAGTATAACTTCGTCATACTAAAAATAATAAACTTTTAAGAAATATAATTAAAATAATAGAAAAAATTAAGCATAAGATAAAATTAATAATTTGGTTGTTGTATTTATAATACAATGAATGAATTAATTTATGTTAACTTACGTCTCTGCAACATATGTTCAAATTCTTGACGCCTTCGAAAATTCACGACAGACCTCAAAAACTCTTCCACGGTGATTCTAAATTAATAAATAAAAACAGTAATAATAATAATAATAATAAAATAACTAGAATTTAAAAGATAATTTTCGTCAGATTTTAATAATAATTTTTATATTTGTGTAGTGTTTTTTCACACCTTCCTAAATCCAATTCATCAGTGCATTGTAAAATATGAATATCATCCAAAATTGAAATTGTTCTTCGTACTCTTCTTACAATGTGACCCTCTTCAAACCGTTCAAAGTCAAGATCTTGGCCATTCATATAATCTCTTTGTTTTTCTGATATATAAATTTTTAAATTTAAATTTAATGGTACCATGTAATTACCTTAATATACCACGTAATATTACCTTAACATTTTTTTTAAAAATTGCTCGGGGGTTTTCGGGGTCGCTGATTACAAATCTAAAGTCAGATTTTAAAAATTCAAAGTGGTGACCCCTAAAACCCCCGAATAACGAGTTTCAAGCGAATTTAAGCAGATTTGAAAAAAATGTCCACCATTTTAAATTTTGAAAATCTGACTTTAGATTCGTGATCAGTAACCCTGAAAACCCCTAAGTAAGAAGTTTTAAGCGAATTTGATGAAATTTTGAAAAACAAGATTTTGCTATTTTCTTTTGCTATTTTCTTATAAATATATTACTTATTGTTTATAATAATTATAATTGAACTATGTATTTTATTTTACAAATAGTAGTAACGTTTGTGATTAAAACAAGCTAAATTAATTGTTAATTGGTTTAAATTTATAAAAACTATATCAAATCTTATAAGTGGAATATGTATTGGGTGTTTTCGACAACGTCGTTTATACCTGTAAGGTGCCACAAAAAGGTGCTCAACCTACTTATTTGAAACTATTCAATTTCAATGATTTTGATTGGCTAAAGTAGTGCTATCAGGAGTGCACGTGAAACAAGCAAAGGAGGTTATAGTGACGATAACATATAAACTAAAAACCTGTTGTAACTAAAAAATAGTTTTAAACGCAAACAAACACGCTTATTCTGTTATCCTTAATAGAAAAACAGCTATTTTTTTGGCTGGAGTTGGAGAGTCACGGTCGTGATTGGTTGTGAAAATGACATGATGACGGCGCGAGTGGTTGAAATACGATGATAACGGTCGCTATTGGCTAAAATAATTTTAAATTTTTGTGCACGCGCAGTTTTGAGGTGTTGAGGACAAAACAAAAAAGTTTTGTGATTAAAATAAGGATAAGGAGGATATAGATAAGTTTTTAAAAATTATGTAAATAATTTTTTCTTTTTGTAAGTATAATTGCAATTAATAAATAAACATCTTTCCCGTCTAAGTCACTAAAATATAATCTATTTCTTCAGCAATTAAACTTATAAAAATTAAACTTATTATAAAGAAATTTAAGTAACTTTCTAGAATTAGTTTAAAAATTCTTGAGTTATATCTGTAACTTTTAGAATTAAATTTTAATGGTAGATATTCTTTTTCTTAAAAGAAAAACATTAATATTTTAAAAATAAACTGGATGCTTATTTCCGCTTTATACAAAGAACATTAAGACATGTAAAGTATTTTCGAAATTATATTAATTTAACTAATAAATATAATAGTAATTGAGGAGAAAATTTTCAAAAGCTGATAAATCCATTCTAAAAAAATTGAGATAAACATAAATTTAATATTTTAAAGACCTCACAAATCGACCTGTTACTGTTAAATGTAAGAAAAAAAATTATTAACAACGAATTTTCATTTTAAAAACTTTTTGACATAACTAAGATGACTTATAATTTTTGTTTTTTATTAGAAAAAATTACCAAAACCTTTAAATCACTTATTTATGATAATGTTTGATTAAAAACAAAACGTCTTAAATATAAAAACATTGTTATAAAAATATATCAATACAAATTTTTTAATTTAAAATTTACTATAGTGGTTATGTGAGAAAAGTCATTTATTTCATTTTCTCGAAATAAGAAAATATGGATTTATCAAGTTTTGAAAACTTGCTGCTCAATTATTCATTTATCATTTATCACTGCTGTTTTCTCAAAAACTTGTTTTCGCACGTAAGGTCCCTTTTCATAGACCAGGTCATATATTATGAACACAATTAGTGAAATAATCTTGCATAATTGTTGTGTTCTTAAATTAAGGTTTTTTTTGTCTCAAATGATAAGGAGTGGGCGCACGACGCGCGCAGTTTTGGTTCTAGTGAAATAGGTTGAGAACCTTTCTGTGGCAACTAACCGCTATAACCGACGACTTTGTTTGAAATTATGATCTACTTTACTATTAGAAATACCGAAAAAGGTGTAAATATTTGTCCTTTCTCCGCCAAATCTGCCAGGTAATTGTCGATTGCATGCTTCCAATTGGTTGTTGGTTCTTGTGGGGCATCGATAAACACTGACGATATTTGCTCTGGGTTGCCATTGTAATCGTAAGTAGAGTAGAACGGGGCGAGGCAGCCAACACCGCACATTTTAGATTGCTAGGCAGTTATTTAAATAGGTTTTTTCAATTGAAATATCGCGTTAGAAAGCCTGCCTTCTTGGCTAAAAAATCGCTATAGAACATTTTGAGGTAGGTTGCACTTAAAAATTTCTACGTTTTGTTGCTTTAATAATAAATAAACATAACTTAAAGTTTAAATTAATGAAGTTTAACAAGATAGTTGTTCATAATTTACTTTTATTTTGTTAGTAAACTTTAAAAATTTACATTTCAATAATATTATAACAAAATAACATTAATTAAATTTAATTTAAAATTTAAAGAAAATATAAATTTTTTATTCTCAAATAAAATAGTTCATAAAATTAAATATGAACTTTAAAACTTATTGAAGTAGTAAAAAAGAAAAAACATTTAGAAAAACTAATAGAATCTATCTACTTATTGTTTTTTGGGACGGCCGCGGCCAACACTTTTCTTTTTAGCACTTTCAATACCCAAACCTGAACTTTTTGCCGCTTGCTGAAGTTGCTTATCAACTTTTGCTTTTTTGGTTTGTTCTGCTAATATTTTTCTTGTTACAGCAGCAGCTTTGGAAGCTGCTTTCTTTGCTTTTTTCTCACTGAGGGCTTGCTGCTCTGCGTGCTATGGTGTCATTTCTTGTGAATCGGTTAAAATCGCAGATTTACGTTTGCGGCCACGTTTTGTCTGTTTGCGCGGTGCAGCCTTTGGGTACGGATGAATTTCTTCTAGAGTTTTATCCAAATCAACTGTTTCATTGACATCGGAAACAGCTGACATCCGTTCTTGCTCCGTGTCAGAATCCGCAGAAGTGGATGCCCGATTAACAGTGTTTTCGCGATCAGTTATATCCGATGGTAAGAAATCGATGTCCGTGAACACATTTTCGTTCAATGGCCAAATTCCAGACACGGCGAAGCCACTTTTGATGTTGGAAACAGACGCACCCGATTCGATAGGTTTCGCAGCAATCCGTGGGATGTCATAGATCGTGATAGTCTTTCTGGCATTTTGCGGCAATCGCATCCAAGTGTCGCACGCGGCATGAAAGTAGCGCTTAATGGGACCAAACACGGATCTGTCAAGTGGCTGCAGTTTATTCGTAGTGTGTGGTGGAAAAGAAAGGACGACAATTCCATTTTCTTTACAAAAATCTAAATTGGAAATCGACAGATGCGATTCGTGATTGTCCAATAATAGTAAAACTGGTACTTTTTTCGTCGGATGTGCGTACTTGACAAAGTGATTCAAGAATTTAAAAAATTGTTCGCTTTTCATCCAACTGGATGGATTTGCCGCACCATCTGCGTCTAAGCCTGACAAAAAATGTTCTTGAAATTTCGCCCGTGGAAAAACGTAAAAAGGTGGTGCTACCATGCCACGTGCTGAACATGCGAGAGTGAGCGTCACTAGAGTTCCTCTTTCGCCTGATGAAATGCCACCTACACTTCTTGCACCACGTGGAGCTACGACAGGAACAGGTTTTTGTACTGTGGTTAGCGCTGACTCGTCAACATTCCAAATGTTTTGCAGTTGTATTTTAAATCGCTGAATGACGTCTTTCAATTTTCCGAAAAATTTCTTGACATTATGACGATTGAATGCAGTCGCCCTGCCGAGACTAGTTGCCATTGGTTTCCGCAGTGAAAGATCTGGATGACGAAGCATAAATCCATTAAGCCAATCCGTGGTAGCGCACTTTGATTTTTTCCATGATTTCGGAACAGATTTAATCAATTTTTTCTTTGTTAAAGTTACTGAAAACTCGTAAGCAAGTTTACGAACCGCAGGATAAGACAAATCGTGATACATTGCCACTGAGCGCAATAAATATCTTTTCAGCGATGCTTCCTGTTCTGCATTGAAAATCTAGAAATAAAAGCAAAAATATCTAAGTAATAAGAAAAAACACTCGAGAAAACAAAAGAAGGCATCATTAGTTTACATGTTTATATGCATGAGGATTTTCAGGAGTTTTACTCTTTAATCGACAGCGTAAAGCTCCTCGTGAAACGCCAAATTTCATAGCTGCGCTGTTAATACTATTGCCTTTTTTCACGGCATCGAGTGCCGCCGACATTCCCGTTTCATTTAATTTTTCAGTTTTTCGAAGATAAGTGAGCACCATAATACTGAAACACAAAAAAACAAAAAATTTATTGTTGGCTGCCTCGCCCCATGTTTTCGTTGGCCGTCTAACCCCACGAGTACTTTTTTTAAAAAACATTCACAGGACCAGTAATATTAAAAATATAGCGATTCCATTTACACCATCGTCTTCAGCACTAAATTCTGCATTAAAAAACACTTAACTGAAATTTATTTATACACCTCAATTAACGAAAATCAGACAAATAACTCTATAAAAAGATACATCCAAAAGTCTGTTTTTGTAAATGATGCTGTCACTTCTAAGCTGGTGCAGTAATAACACCCATCTGTTAGCAACTGAATTGAACTACTATAAGCACTCTACATTATCGACGGCGCGCGATTTCAAAAAGCGACGCAGAAATAAGAAGCAATTGGCTGTCTCACCCCGTTGGCTGCCTCGCCCCGTTCTACTCTACCTTATAAATTCTAGAACTCTTGGAAAATCCTCGGCTAAAGCCAACGCCATAGCCATCCACAAAATAATTGAAGGTGCGTTTTGCAACCCTAGTGCTTTCCACTTTCTAAGTAACGCTTGGGTATAGTGAAACCAGCAACCTTTCAATATTACGTTAGGAATTAATTGGAATAATGCGGCCGTCGGCGCAGCTTCATAATCTCCAATAACCGAGATTTCTCTTCCTAGAATTTGAGGCGCTAATTCTAAAATTTTTCTCCATATAGAAAGATACATTTCTGTAGTTTTAGAATTTGTGAATACCCAAAAGACTGGAAATATCTACAAATTAAAAATAAATTATTTCATAAGTAACACAGGCACTCAAAAAAAATTCGTGGCCCAGAAGACAGAACCTTATATTCCTACATTTTTGGGGTCGCTGAAACCGAATAAGACCATGAAAAATTTCTTAATTGCCCATTTTCCTGCTACCACCCCCTTCACACCCCCACACGAGAGTGAGAGAGTTGGCATTTCAGTTTTCAAAAAAAGTCGAGAGGGAGTGAAGGAGAGGACTAATTTATTTTTGGTGCACTTTTTCGGTTTCAGGGATCCAAAAAACATAGGAATAGACACCGCATACGACTTTTCGTGAAAGTGACTTTTTCGTGACTTTTTGTGAAAATAGTACATTGCACAACTAGTGGCGAAAGTGTGATTTTTCGAGAGTGAAGTTTGCGGCTCGAAAGTATCGAGAGCAGCAATCACTCAAGAAAAATCATTCTTTCACCACGTGTTGTGCAATACGTTTTCTCCAACGCCTTGGGAGGAAAGGTTTCTTAGTGAGTTTCGTATAATTTTAATTTAACGTGCGTTTATGTTTAATATAATAAAAAACAAATGTTTTGAGTGGGGAAGAAGTTAGATACAAAATATATCTTGGTCAAAGAACATAAAAAAAGAATTAGGTCATGATTTACTTTCGTCAAGCCAAATTTACTTTCGCCACGCTCTTCAGAGCAGTTGAGAAAAGTTCTACTTTCGAAACACTTTTCTACCAAGAAAAGTACTCCTTTCAGAGCAAGCGTTGGAGAAATTAAATTTTAACTCCCTCTAAGGGTGTTTTTAGGGCGTTCTGGGGGATAAAGGGAAAGACGAATTTCTTTTTGGTGGTCTTTTTCTGTTTCAGCGAGCCAAAACACATAAGAATAGACATCCTACTCGACTTTTTTTGAAAACTGAAATGCCAACCCCCTCACTCTCAGTGGGGTTGCAAAAGGGGTGGTAGTGGGAAAATGGGCAATTTAAACATTTTTTCATGGTCATATACAGTTTCAGCTACCCCAAAATTGTAGGAATATAAGGTTCTGTCCTCTGGGTTACGATTTATTTTGTGCCTGTGTAATTAATAACCGGCTCCCACCCTGGGGTTAAGCGGACACTTTGATATTTTATCTATAATAATGAATTTGTATAATCTACTACAATAACAACAAACTTAAAAAACCATGTAAGAAACCGTTATCATTGAATTGATTGAATTTTAATTAAATAAATATTTTTTTAATTAAAAAGAAAAATGTGGACAGTGAAATGGGAATGTTGAATCTGAAATCGAAGTATAGAAAATAAAATCGGAATGTGGAATCGGAAAAAGTTACATAATCGAACCGATAGTAATGGAAAAAAATATTGAAAAAATTGACAATATAAAATAAGAATTAAAATAATTCAAATTTTAATTTTTAGATAATTTTTGGTTTTACTACCAAAAAATAGAGTCAAATATTTATATAGCGGACTTCCATACACAAAATACAATAATTTATTTACTTATAATTGCCAAAAAATGACACATCTAAATAATAAAGGAAAAAATTGTTTAGTCGTCTCTCTACTTTTATATATAATAGGGATGGCTTCGAAACTTTAGTTTCATTTTAGTTTCGAATATGGCAACAAAACTAAATACAGGGACCTTTTAGTTTCATTATTAGCACGAAAACATAAATCAAGGTCGTTTTAGTTTTGATTCCTGCGCATCAAAACTATAGTACATTGTACAACTAGTGGCGAAAGTGTGATTTTTCGAGAGTGAAGTTTGCGGCTCGAGTGTAGCGAGAGCAGCAATCACTCGAGAAAAATCATTCTTTCACCACGAGTTGTGCACTACGTTTTCTCCAACGCCTTGCGAGGAAAGGTTTCTTCGTGACTTTCGTATAATTTTAATTTAAAATGTTCTTATGTTTAATATAATAAAAGACGAATGTTTTGAGTGGGGAAGAAGTTAGATACAAAATAAATTTCGGTCAAAGAACAAGAAAAAATAATAAATTCATGATTTACTTTTGCCACGCCAAATTTACTTTCGCCACGCTAAAAATTACTTTCGCCACGCTGAATTTACTTTCGCCACGCTCTTCAGAGCAGTTGAGAAAAGTTCTACTTTCGCCACACTTTTCTACCAAGAAAAGTACTCCTTTCAGAGCAAGTGTTGGAGAAAATTATTTTTTTCGTTTTTATTTAGTTTCGAATCCTTATATATATATATATATATATATATATATATATATGGGCAATTCCACGTGAGATTTCAGTCGACCTCTTAAAATCGGCCAAAAATATTTTTTTTCTATTCTGTATTGAAAAAAAACAGATACGTATTTTTTTATTATTTTTTTGGAGGCCAAATTTTTGAGTTATGAATTTTCAAAATTTTCGCTTTTTAAATGTAGGTATATTTTTAATGTCAGATAACTAAAAAAATATTGCTTCTTTTTATTTTTTGACAAGAGAAAAAAGTTTTGTTTTTCTCTCTACTTTTGAATAATCATAACAACAAATTTTTTTTTTCATTTTTTATTAAAAAAATAAAAAAATTTTATAAACAAATTAATTTTTTTTAACTTTGGGTATGATAAATTTTTAATTTTCTTTTTTTAAAACATACCTGGAAATGATAAGAAGGTTTTGCAAAAAGTTTCAGAGTGGGCCTGACAAGTTTGATGGGTCCAAAAAAATAATTAAGCTGTCCATGCAGGTCGCACGCTCGTGGCACAATGGGATTTTTTTACAATTTATTATTAAAAATTGTCTAGAGCCTACAAATTTTATCGGATTTTGATTATTATTGAATTTTTAGGCTCTAAACAATTTTTAATAATAAATTGTAAAAAAATCAAATTGTGCCACGTGCGTGCGACCTGCACGGAGAGCTTAATTATTTTTTTGGACCCATCAAACTTGTCAGGCCCACTCTGAAACTTTTTGCAAAACCTTCTTATCATTTCCAGGTATGTTTTAAAAAAAGAAAATTAAAAATTTATCATACCCAAAGTTAAAAAAAATTAATTTGTTTATAAAATTTTTTTATTTTTTTAATAAAAAATTAAAAAAAAATTTGTTGTTATGATTATTCAAAAGTAGAGAGAAAAACAAAACTTTTTTTCTCTTGTCAAAAAATGAAAAGAAGCAATATTTTTTGAGTTATCTGACATTAAAAATATACCTACATTTAAAAAGCGAAAATTTTGAAAATTCATAACTCAAAAATTTGGCCTCCAAAAAAATAATAAAAAAATACGTATCTGTTTTTTTTCAATACAGAATAGAAAAAAAATATTTTTGGCCGATTTTAAGAGGTCGACTGAAATCTCACGTGGAATTGCCCATATATATATATATATATATATATATATATCTGTCTATCTTATAAAAAGATATCGCCACCGCCGCTGTTTAAAGATTCAAAGGTCAAAGATCAAAGGTCAAAGGTCAAACATAACCTTAAAACCCCCTTCCTACTCACAGGTCACTTGGCAAACATAACCTCAAACCCCCCCCTATTCATAGGTCACAGGGAAAACATAACCTCATAACCCCCTTCCCACTCACAGGTTACAGGGCAAACATAACCTCAAAACCCCCTTCCCACTCACAGGTCACATGGCAAACATAACCTCAAAACCCCCTTCCTACTCACAGGTCACATAGCAAACATAACCTCATAACCTCCTCCCTACTCATAGGTCACAGGGAAAACAGATCCTCATAACCCCCTTCCCACTCACAGGTCACAGGGCAAACATAACCTCAAAATCCCCTTCCCACTCACAGGTCACTTGGCAAACATAATCTCAAAACCCCCTTCCTACTCACAGGTCCCTTGGCAAACATAACCTCAAACCCCCCCTCCCAAAACTCAAACCTCTATTTTCACATGGTCAATTGTATGTAGCACTTTCGAGATGTAAAAATAAAAACAAATTGTTTATAGAAATTGATTCTGAAGATTTTAAAGAAATAAAAAATATTGTATGGAAAGAAGTTTTTGAATAAAACATTTGAAATATTTCAAAAAACGATTGGTTGATTTAATATAAAAAATTATAAATGTGTCAATAATGAAAGTAAATGCCATTCACTGAAAATGAATTAAAATTTCAATTTATTAATGAGTTTTGTAACTTTAATTTTTTTTAAAAAGTTTTTGTTATGCCGTTGTGTATATGAAGAAGTATTAAAAAAGAATTTCAGATTGGGTAAAATTTAGGTACCTTCCTGTTGATTCTGCTAAAATCTACAATGACAATCAGTAATTTTTACCTGTAGCCAAGGCTACGTACACTTTTTTAATTTTGAAATTACTTTTTTTAGTACTTTTTAACATATACAATGATATGTAAACACTTTTGATTAATTATATTTTAAAACTTATGAGAAAAACTTTTTTAATAACTTCCGATTTTAGATTTGAAAAAATTAAAAAATAAAATCAATGACTCTCACTATTAAATAATGAAAATGCGTCTAACTGAATAATTACAACTTAAAATTTTTCATTAATTTTACTATATTTACAATATAATTTTTATACTTTATTTAATATTTTTTAGTTTAGGTGAGATGCTAAATTGGTTTGTAATAAACTTAATTAAAAATTAAAGTTTATTATACCTCCTCGCGGTGCATCTTGGAAACAAATTCTTTAAAAGCTAAAAAAATAAAATATGTTTTAATACTTTGTTACTAAAAATTTTAATTAAATTTAATTATTCAACAAACATTAATTAAGTTAATAAATAAAAAATTTTAATTTTAATTTTAAATAATTTGGCTAAAAACCAATTGTTGAAGTATTTTAAATAATTAAAAAAATTTAAATCAATGTACTTTTAGATAAAAACTTTAAACTGTAAATTTAATAACGGGGGGGTTGGCGCGCGAAGCGCGCAGGGGGGCGCAGCCCCCTAGTATATATATATCAGAACGCCGGTTTACCGGACTATCATGTCGGGCGGAGTCGTTTTAAAGCGAACAATACAATGAGGCAGGAAAAAGAAAATCGTAAATCACAAGTCAAAAATTTCGCTAAACCGGCGTTCCAGTGTATATCTTATGGGCGAAATAAGAAAGCGAGCATTTTGGAACACTGATAAAAACTCCAGGGCATTGGTCGACAATGCCGAGTGTTTTTGGTCAATGTTGACTATGTACGATTTCGGATTTTGCCCGTAAAATATATATAATTATATACTAGGGGGGCTTCGCCCCCCTGCGCGCCAACCCCCGAATTATTTCGGGGTTGTTACTATGCATAGTAATAAGTTAATGATGGCTTATTTTCTTTAGAAAATGATTCTCTATTACTTGACAGCTCAGATTTATAAACAAATACACCGTTTTGAAAATATGCTTATTTGTTTAAAAAAAGTGATTTAAGTTAAAAAAGTCTTTTTAAACAAATAGGCATATTTTCTTTTTTTTTTTTTTTTAAATCTGAGCAGTCAAGTTATAGAGAATCATTTTTTAAAGAAAATAATAATAGTTAAATAATTAATTGACTTAAATCGAATCAGTTTTAAAAAAGTTTGACCTTTTAATATGAAGAAAACTTTGATCATATGCAAAATGACTAAATAAATTGTTGGAAGTTTTAAATTTTTTTCTTGAAAATTAATATTTGTTCTTCCAGAAGATACGAATATCTTAATAATATTAAAAAATTCTTTAATGTCAATTCAATATTTTTTCTGAAGGTCTACATACCTGTTTAGATCCTTAAGATCTAAACAGTAGAATGTCAAATTACCTAAAGATATCGACGTAATGTCATAGACGCTTGTAGGCCTCATTTTTACCTGTAGGTCAAAACTGCCTTTAAATTTGAAGAAAATTTTGAGAGAATCGTCAGAGGACATTTTGAGGGCAGAGAAAATTGTTTGTGAATTTTTGACGTTTAGGTCAAAACTGCCCTACATTTTGTGGGCAGAGGGAATCGTTTGTCAATTTTTGACATGTAGGTTAAAACTGCCCTTAAAGACCTAAATATTAAGGGGAGAGTGAATTGTTTGTCAATTTTTAACGCTTAGGTCAAAACTGCCCTTAAAATTTACCTAAATTTTGAGGGCAGCGGGAATTGTTTGTCAATTTGTGACGTGTAGGTCAAAACTGACCTTAAAATTGACCTAAATTTTGAGGGAAGCGGGAATTTGTTTGTCAATTTTTTACGTGTAGATCAAAACTTCCCTTAAAATTGACCTACAATTTGTGAGGGGAGAAACTACAGGTCAACTCTTGACCTGTAGGTCAAAAAATCTTGAAACAGCGGCGGCGATATCTTTTTGTAATATAGAGAGATATAAATATATATATTAATTATTAACTAGATTACCGTATTTCCATATCGCACATGAACAGTGTACAGTTGTATAATTCTAGGTCTGGGAGGTACGATCTATAAGACGTTGAAGAATAATTATTTATACTAACATCTTTAACTTTGAAATCATTTAATTTAGGGGAGTAGGAGATCCCTGTATAATTTTAACCCATCTTAATAGTTTAGAGGCCAGTTTCACCAATTCCGATTAATAGTTAATCAATGATTAAATCCTTAACCGACCAGTCATGTCCGGTTGAAAAAATTAATTAGTTAATAACTTTTTAAATAAAAATAAATTTTTTTAAAAATATAATAAAAATTGGAAAAACTTTTAATAATCAATCGCATAGATTTTTACAAAGTTTACTTTTCTCAAAAATTAAATTTTTTGGAAAATAAAAAATTGTAAATTATTTAAGAATTAGTATAAAATGGTAATTAGGTGTCATCTAGCGGATATTCATTTTACTTATCATATCGATAAGACAGAAATTAACATTTCAATATTTAAGAATTAAATAAGAATTACATTTAAGAATTAGGTAGAGTAAACGTACCAATTGTCCAGGATGGTTTTAGTTGTCGAGTAAACAAACTTTTTAATTTATTTAAACATTGTAGCACATTGTAAATGCAAAAAGTGATAAATATTAATTTTCTTATGCGTTATACATGTGAAAAAAATATATTAATATTACATCCACAAACAAAGGAGACATTTTAGACAATATTTCTTGGTTATTACCATGGTAACATCGACAAATGGGACACCATCGGTAATTGGTACAATTATCCTGCTTTTATTAATTTTTTATAGCAAAAATATGGTTTAAGGTACTGAAAAAATGAAAAAAAGTGAATACCCCTAAAAAAGGTTAATTTTGATTGGCTTGAAATGTTACTAGTTATACTTTTAAAATTCAACTTCTTTCACATTTTTTATTGCTTTTCTTTGCAGAATTTTTAAAGACTTTTTTTACGATTCTGAAGAATTAATAATGGATGTATAAAAATTTTAATTTTTCCATAAAATAAAATTTCAAAAACAGTTAAATATATATTTTTTAATTTTAATAATATAGAATAAATTTAGATTTTACATAATTACAGAAAAAATTGACGCATCTAAACCTCTCCTTAAGATTACTACTCACGTCAAACGTTCCATCCATGGAGAACTGTGTTCCTTCTCGAAATGCTCGGATCATCGTGTCTGTTGCAAACATCAATGCTATAGAACCATCATTGCTAGTTAGTGTTCCTCTAAATGTGCCTTCAGTACACTCATAATTTAAGTCCAGCAAAATTCTTCCAAGGGCCTCCAATTCCATTGGAACTGGTCCCCTATGGTGAATCATTTGTTTGTACATTGTTGATCTTATGGACTCGTAATTAATTGAACTTGCCACAGCGAGAGGATACCTGACATGTAATTTTTTTTTATAAGTATTGTAATAAAAACAGACTTCTGTCTGCATATTGTTGACTAGAACTTGGAAAATCATGTTTAATTTTTGAATTTGAGTAGTAAGAGTTCTAATAATGGCATGAAAGAATTTTGTGTGTGTATGTATGTCCGCAATATTTTTTCCGTTCATCACTCAAAAAAACAGTTAAACGGATTAGAATATAATTTAGTAGGATATTAGTTTAACTTAAATTTCAAGCCATATTTCATTAAAAATAATAATTTGAAGGTAAGTTATAGCACTTTTTCCAAAAATTCGAATATTTTTATTCTTTGACACATTATCATTAAACTTTCTGTATCTAGGTTTTTGATTTCGATGAATCAAATTTTAGCATTAAAATTGAAAGATAACCAACAATTTTAATTGTTGTTCTTTATATAGGTAGGCTTTCGATGTCGATTATCTCTTTTTAAAATTAAAATAAATAAATAACAAGCAAATTTAAAGTTGTTACGAAAAACAAAAAACATAAATTTTCAATATTTTTTATTTCTTGTCATTTTTTACCTAATTATTTTATAATTAGTCTTTTAAGGTTAATAAGTCAACTTTTAACATTATTAAAGAGTTTCCGGCAAATTAGAAATTTTTTTTAAAAAGTCGTCCTCCGTATTGGATCCGACATTTTGAATTTCAAACATGTGGTAAATCTGACATCGGATTTGTAACCAGCAATTCTAAAAGCCTTCTAGTTCTAAATTTCAGGCAAATTAAATCAATTTTTGAAAAAGTCGTCCACCACATTAAATCTGCAATTTTTAGTTTTAAAAAACTAACATCCGATTCGCAATCTGCAACTTCAAAAACATTAGAGTAAAGATTTTGTGTCAAATTGAATCCATTGTTGAAGAAAGCGTTTGCCATATTAGACCCAAAAACATAGTATACCCAGGGTGTCCGGCAAGGATTGAAAAAAATATTCCCTGACTTTTCCCTACCTATTTACTGACATTATTTCTGCTTTCTTGGCACATAAATATGAATACTGACTTAGGGGCCGTTCACAAACTACGTCACACTCCGAGGGGGGGTGTCAAGCTGTGTGTGACGAAGTATGTAGAAAAAAAATTTTTTGTATGAAAAAAATGTGACGAAGATAAGGGAGGGGGTCAAAATTAGTCCAAAAAAACATGACGTAGTTTGTGAATGACCCCTTATTTGACCTTCGCGCTGCCAACGATTTTTTTATAAATGCGGGCTCCGATGTGGTCACCCGGGGTGACCAGACGCTTTTTTATTTTTATTTTCTAAAAACAATTTAAATTCATCACAATTTTTCCATATAATTATGTGTTAATAAAAATACTGTATTTCAATAATCTTTTCATGCATATTGCAGATATAAATTTAATTATTATTTAAACAATTTTTAAAAAAATGATTGTTATTTACCAACTTTTTCTGAATGCACTTAGAAAGTTGCAGTTTGCTAATTTGGCAATTTACTAAATTGTATATGATTACAGATAAAGAATAAAAATTAAATTATTATTTAAACAATTTTTAAACAAATTAATAATTTGTTTATAAATTGTACTTAATCTATAATCATATAAGGTTTAGTAAAATGCAAAATTAGGAAAAAACTGCAACTTTCTATCGAGTAGCATTATGTAAAAAGTTGGTAAATAATAATACTTTGTTTAAAAATTGTTTAAATAATAATTCATTTTTATTCTTTATCTGTAATCATAATTATAGAGTTTAGTAAATTGCAAAATTAGGAAAGAAACTGACACTTTCTAGGTGCATTGAGTGAAAAGTAGGTAAATAACAACAATAATTTGTTTTAAAAAATAAAACATTCATTGTAACATCAAAATATATTGTATTTATTGTCATAAAACAATTTTACTGTAAAACTTTGATGATTTTATTTTTATTTTTTTGTAATATACAAAATAAACACCTGGGTAATTTTCAGTAGTCTCGTACTTACTTTTTTAATTGTTATAAATAAACAAGAAAAAATGAAAAAAAATTTAATTTTTTTATTTTTCGAAAGTAGATAATGAAACTGAAGTTATCAACGTTTGTTCGACGAAAAATATAATACGTAACAATTTCCCCGCCTCAGATCCAATTTTTTTACACATTTATTATAGATACTAATATTAGAAGTCATTAGAAATTATTTTCAAGTGGAACCAGGTCGTGGAGGGCAACGATTTTGATTTTTAGCACGGATTTTTCAAAAAATCCGCGACAAAAAATCAAAATCATTGCCCTCCCCGACCTGGTTCCAGTCGAAAATAATTTCTTATGATTCCTGACATTAGTATTTTTAATAAATGTGGAAAAAAATTGGATCTGAGGAGGGAAAATAGAAATTGTTTCGAAATTTCTGAATTTTCGAAAAATCCGTGACAACAAGAATGTCAAAATCGTTGCCCTCCACGACCTGGTGCCACTTGAAAATAATTTCTAATGGCTTGTAATATTAGTATCTATAATAAATGTGGAAAAAAATTGGTTCTGAGGCGGGGAAATAGAAATTGTTTTTTTTAAATTTCTGAATTTTCGAAAAATCCGTGACAAAAAATCAAAATCATTGCGCTCCCCGACCTGGTTCCACTTGAAAATAATTTCTTATGATTCCTGACATTAGTATTTTTAATAAATGTGGAAAAAAAATTGACTCTGAGGCGGGGAAATAGAAATTGTTACGTATTATATTTTTCGTCGAACAAACGTTGGTAACTTCAGTTTCATAGTAGATAAGATTTTGTTCAGTTAAGTAAAATCGCGATTCGATTGATGCAAAAGTCGAGAAGATAAAATAAATAAAAATATCGAAATATCAATTAATAAATTATTATACTTTATTAATAATATAGAAAAGTTTTACTATCACCTTGCACAAACTGTGTCAAAAACTGCCCTTAATGTCCTATTTCCTCTAGCATTCAAAGCTTCAGATTTTAACTCTAATTTTAATCTCGCGACAGGTAAAGCCAAATTATCTGGCCCGTGTCTGTGATCACTAGCTTCAATGATTTCCCCTGTAGTTGTGTTTAACTTTATAAATCCAGGACAATGATCATTTACACGAGAAATACATCAGTATACTTGAAATGGCTCAATTTGCTGTCTTGATTCTTTGTGATATACAAAGCCCCGATAGAAATGTTTCCAAGTGTTGGCTCGTACGCCCTGTACACTAATAAGTGTGTTATAATCCTCAGCAACATTTTGTTGATTTACCAAAGGTTCCTCCAATCTATGTAATTCGTAAATTTAAAAACTCATTAAAATGTAAAAAATTGGGTTATTTTTTAAAAATAAAATTCAATTTAAATTATCACCTTCTTCCCAATGTCTGAGGAATTAATCTTCCTTAAGTAATTTAAAATATTTTTTAGTTCATGAAACGTCAATAAAATAAAATAACGACTGTATAACCAACGACTATTTGACAGAATTTTGTCAGTTTATTTTTCTTTTTGATGAAATAAACAAATGAATCTTAACGATAAATTTGATTGTTCTGATATAATAATTTTTAAAAAATGTCACTTTTTGAACATTTAAAGAAAACCTAAATTTACAGGTACAAGGAGATTTTATTTCAGTACCAAGTTTTATTTACAAGATAAAAATTATTATTTAAAAATTGTACAGTATTTTCAGGTTAACAATATTGAAAACCAATCAAAAAATATATTGGCTGTTTTCGGCACTCGCCCCGAGTTAACTCCGGGTTAATGGTGATTGGTTATACCAACAGAATGTTTTTGATGATTGGATAATATTTATCTCGGGGTTAACCCTGGGTGAGTGCCGAAAACAGCCATGGAAAGCTCACTCACGTGAGTCTTTTTAGTCCTGTTTTAAGGACGTTGGACAATCTATGGTTAACATGGATTTTCAAATTCTAGGCAGCAATGTATAGGCAAAAGTTCGATTTTATTAAATATAGATATTAATTAGTAAAAATAAAAAATAATTAATATCAACTTACGATAAAACGCCACTTTATCAAAATCACATATAGAAAACCACAATTTATATTTTCCATGAAAATTATATTATATTATAATATAATATATTATAATTATAATTATAATTATAATTATAATTATAATTATAATTATAATTATAATTATAAATTGTATTATAATTATATTATTTATAAAATTATATTTTACTTACCATTCATGTAGATTCTTCTGCATAATATTCTCTTCAACAATACAAAATTCAACAATACAAATTGAGTTGTCATAGATAAATTAAGAATAATTATTGACTTAATTTTAATAAAATTAGATTATTAAAATAAAAAAATATACAATTACTTCTATATTATATAGCCAGATTCCTTATTTCATTTCTTATTTTAATCTAGTGATGTATTTAAACAATACAAAATTTAACAATATAAATAGAGTTGTTATTATTATTCAAATTTCTAACAATTTGTATAGAATTTCAGGGTATAAAATTTAACTAATTTGTATAAAATACTTGTATAGAAGTGAATTGTATGCAGATAAAGGAGAAATCAAATTTTCAATATATCCTAATTCCCTGTACTTAATTGAACAGTAGAGAGTTAAACATTTTATTTTTTTGTATAGAATTAAACAGTATCCTGTTAAGCAAATTTAAAAAATTTCTGCAACTTGACTGTATAGAAATAAACGTTATTAATTAGTTGTGTAGAGTTGAATCGTATACAACTTACCTGTGTCGAAATAAACTGTACAGAGATAAACATTTGTAGATTTTTTAAACTTTTGTATAGAATTTCACTGTATAGAGATAAACGTGAATAAAAATTTCAAATTTTCGAAATTACTTGTGCACAAATAAACCGTATAGAGTTTCCACATATTATTTCTGTAAACTGACTCGTGTCGAGTTTAACAGCGTACAACTTACCTGTATCGAAATAAACTGTGTAGAGATAAAATTTTTTTATGCTCGTATAAAATTTCACTGTATTCAGATAAACAAGAATAAAATATTTAAATGTATCAAAATTATCTGTATACAATTAAACCGTATAGACTTGAACGTATTATTATTTTTGCAAATGACTCGTGTTGTACTGAACAGTGCACAAATTATTAGTATTTAAATAAACTGTTTCGAGTTTAAAAAAATTTTTTTTATAAATGCTTGTATAGAATTAAACTGTATGCTGTGTTGCCAGACGTTTCAAAGTACCAAGCAATTCAAATTACAAAATAATGGTTTTTGTTTTGATTAGTTCAGTCAAGCGATAGAAAAACTTTATATATATTAATTATACATCAGAAGAATTATTTTCTTGAAGTATTCTTCCTTCTTTGTCAAAGCATTGACACCGAGATTTATTAATAGTCATGATATAAGTCGAGGTATAAGCCGTCCATAAACCACGAGGATAATTTTTTATTAATTTTTGACCCTCCCCCCATCCAATATGGAACACAAATTTTTACTTTATGCAGTGGACCTTAATTTTGTCACTCGGTGGTTTTTAGGGACGCTGATTACGAATTTGATGTAAGTTTTCATAAATTTAAAATGGTGTATTCAATATGGCAGAATTTTCTTTTAGATTTATGCAATTGACCTTAATTTTGTTACTCGAGAGTTGTAATACCAGTCAGTTAGCTGTAAATGTCATAGGAGCGCTCACTGACAATTATTTTAGCACTTGCGTCGATTCACGACCAGCGAGCGTGTATAGAAAATTTTTTTTAATTTCTCTTTCCCATATTATATTAGTCATTTGAAATTTTGAAAACAAACATCGCATTCGTAATCAGCTACCCTAAAAACCACCGAGCGACAAAATTAAGATTAATTGCATAAAGTAAACATTCTGCTCCATATTAGATCCGCCATTTTGATTTATGGGAAACTAAAATTGAATTCGTAATTCAATAGCACAACTTTGCTAAATTTTTTTATTTCTTTTAATGCCAGATATAATTATATTTTATGTTTTTGAGGTTACTGAATCCAAATATTTGGATGGGTAAATGGGTAAAAAAAATAACCAAACCGTCCAGATGTCAATATCTCCGAAATGGCGAGATTGTCAAAACTGTTGTTTAGAATTTCAAAACAACCATGTGTAGTATACCTTATTTTTAAACTAACATTTATACTCAAAATGAGCGTATGGGGCAAACAGTAATAGTTTCAATAAGTTAAAATTTGACTGGTTCCCTTCTTAAATTATTCTCTTCATGTAAATAGTAATTTTTTCTATAATTATTGAAATACCAGATTTTCTGTCTTGGTAGTTAAGACTTGCAATGCAGATATCAAGTTTTCTTGCACTTTCTTTCTTCTTTTCTGGACGTTTTGAGGAACCATGGCTACTTTTTTCGTAATTAGATGACGTTGTCGCAAAAGGTTCTATTGGTGCACTAGTATCTTTATATAAAAAAAAAAGTTTGCAATCTTATAATCGAGTCAGTCAAAATATAAAAAAATGAACTAAAAAGAGTTGTAAAAATGAAAAGGTTTTTTTATTTTAAGTAAATTAAAATTTTTTCACTTATATTAAATTCTTATTTCCCTAAAAATTCATGTCGGGAAACATGTTTTTCATAATTTTCTCATTACCAGGAATTTGCGGTTTTCATTAATTTATCGATAATTAATCTGATAGATTTCATTGGTTCTTTAAAAAAATGAAAAGGGCCCAATTTGTCGGTCATTTGCAAAAAAAATCCTTATTTTTAAAATGGAGGTGTAATTGTGTAATTGTCGAAATGAAAATTTGGATATTGCATCAATTTTTTCACAATAAAGACTGTCAAAAAATTTTAAATAAGATTAATATCTATTCTTTTTCTTCAAATGACACAATAAAATTGTACCTAATCATTTATCTTGTAAAAATATTATATTAAGCAACAAGGGTATAAAGGCAGCCATTTGTTTACGGTGATTTTTGTGACACGAGTCGAGGTCGAGGGCGCCCCGAGACCTCTACTCGTGTCACAACAAACATCGTGAACAAATTGGCTGCCTTTATTCCCGTATTACATACGATATTTTTTATTTCTAATGCACAAAAGTGTCGATTTCAGATAGCAGACGACAGGGAGTAAAAGTCATTCACTTGTTCGACTTGTATGAAAATGGCGGCCTTTTTTACCTTGGGCAAAAAAAGCATGGGACCAACTGTTTTTTTGCCCTTGGGAAAAAATCGCTATTTTCATACGGTCGAACAAATAAATGACTGTTCAAAACAGGCAAAAAGAAGGCTTTTTAGTATATATTATTAAAATAACTATGACATTTATTTTAAAAATTCCTTTTACATGTAAAAAATAATTTATTTAAGAATTTGTAAAAAAAAATTTTTCATTTTTATTTCAAAATGGCGGCGATATACGCTATTTTCGAAAATGCCCATTCTCGGTGGTAAGATCGATTCCAAACTTTCTATAACAGATAAAACCAAAAACGAAGTGGCATTCTCTTCGTTAGATATTTCTTTAGGTGTGGAACCTCAAAAAAGTAGAATTTTCTTCCCCCCCTTTTTTTAGAGTACTTTTTCTCTAAAATATGCAAAAAAAGGTGTTTTTATTCAGAATTTCCCTTATAAAATAAAGAGAGTTGTAAATTTTCCAGTTTTTGAGGTTCCACTTATAGGCATGATGACGCTGAATCAAAAACCTTTTGATTTTTTAAAATCGCTTTAGAAGAACTCGAGATATCACTCTTTCCAGATCAAAAAAAGACATTTTGAGAAAAACGCCTTTTAAGTTTTTGTTCATAAGTTTTAAAATTTTTTAAAAAAATCATCGGATTTGCTTGAAAATCGTTACTCGGGGGTTTTCGAGGTCGCTAATTACGAATGTTGAATCAGATTTTTAAAATTCAAAACAGCGAATTCAATATGGCGGACATTCTTTTTTTAAAATCATTGGATTTGCTTGAAAATCGTTACGGGGGGTTTTGGGGTCACTGATTACGAATATGACATAATTTTTTAAAAATTAAAAATGGCGGATACAATATGGTGGACAAAAAAAAATTAAACGAAAAAAAAAATTAAAATAAAAAAATGTTCTTTTCCGCCATGTTGGATCCCCCATTTTCAATTTTGAAAATTTGATATCTAATTTTTGATCAGCAACACCAAATACATTTTTGTTTGTCTTTTTTAAAAAATGCAAATGAGAAAATATTTAAATCATACGATTGCTTATCCGCATACAAAAACATCTTTGACATGGCGAAGAATAAGGATGTATAATTTTTGTTTTACTTAGAATTTTGCAATATTATTTTAGGAGAGTATTCTTGACACTATAAAAAATCCGCCATTTTGAATTTAATTTTAATTAAAATTTTCGAAATTATGTGTCAAATGCTTAATAAATAAAGCATTAACTAACAAATTGAAACCAATTCAACGCATGTAACGCGGCAGTGCAACCGCCCGTGAAACTGCACGCTCCATGTCTTTTTTACAGCGCGTAACAGGCTTAAAAAACCATCGGTACACTTCAGAAAGCCTTACCCATTGTTCGAAGATAATTGAATCTTAAATAATTATACGAATTAGTTTTTTAAAATATTTGCGATTGTTCACAACTGGAGGCGGGGTGGGAGTCAAAAATTGATGAAAAATTGTCCATTTGGTTTATGGAACAACGATAAAATTTATACCTCTCACTCATACCTCGTTCTTGATCTGCCTTTCTTTTACTCCTTAATCTATCTGTGAGTGAAAAAAGAAAAATAATTAGCCAATAAGGAAATAAGACGCCCATTTCGTATTTTGGCTTGAAAGTAAAATTCCCCACTTTTCCTTCCCCTATCAAATTCTGTTCCTCTCTTTCTACCTGACACGGAAAATGGAGAAAACATGGTACCCCCTTCTAAACCCAAAAAGTGGGAATTACTTTCTTAACTATTCGTCTCTCTTTCGCTCCTACTCTAAACTAAAAGGAGAGACAATACCTCCCTCCCTCTCTTTCTCTCTCACTGTGAACAGAGTATATAAGGAAAGACTAACTTAATATATATAGATATAATAATAATATTCGCCTCTCTTTCGCTCCTACTCTAAACTAAAAGGACAGACGATACTTACCTCTCTTTCTCTCTATCAACCTTTCTTTCTCACTGCGGACAGAATGTATACGCTCTGGACAGACTGAATGAAAGAATACGAAGATTATTATAGTTAATTTCAACATCAGTAATTTTAACTATTATTCCTTTTTAAAAAGCAGCACATGTTTGGTTGCCATTCTATTTCGTTCTTTAGATTTTTTGCATGTAATGAAATTCTTTACGGGAATAAGCAAATAAATGCATGCGTTTTTATTTTACATTAAAATTCAATTATTATATTGATATTAATTTTGAATCCTAGCGCTATTACCTAGTTTCTTCCGTACGAAGAGTTTCGTAGTGTTTTTCCCTAGTGGAGAATTACGTGAATTTAGGCCTGCCGTCACATCGCGTATTGGGCCGATTTTTTAAACTTCCTTTAAGGCCAACGCAGAACCAAATACATTACTTTCTTTATTTTTATAACATCCCACATTTTGAATTTCTCGTTAGAATTGGCGATTCAAACAGTTCAAGCAGCGCCACTGTTGGAACTAATATATGCAGGACAGCTGGTCTATGTTTCTGTTTGTTTACATAAACTTTGTAATGATTTTAATAAAATAATTTATTTAATTGTATAATATACAGTTTATTTATTAAAATAATTATAAAGTTTAAGTAAACAAACAGAAACATAGACCAGCTGTCCTGCTTATATTAGTTCCAACAGTGGCGCTGCTTGAACTGTTTGAATCGACAATAAAGCTTTCCTAACTTCGGAAAATCTGTCGTGTGAACACAATTTCGATTTTTCCGGTAAATTTTATTTCCAACAATCGTATAAAGGTACGGT